GGCTTTGCACGCTCCACCGCAGCACATGTACCTTAGGCTGCTGACCCCCTGCTCTTGATGGTGCTTGGCACTGTCCTGGGAATAAAAAGGATGGAGTCATTGTAGGGAGAGAACAGTGATCTTTGTGAAAGGTTATATTTAACTGTAAGGGTTACACATGCACATTACTTGGCACTTTTATGAGCAAAATATATCTTTATTATAATAAAATACTCTAAGTAAAAGTACTATAGCGGCCATTTAAATTCAGGTATTGAATATATTTCTCCACATAGAGAAGCAAAGATTCTGATTTGTGTATCCTATTCGCAGACCAAGACAAACTATTGTAATTTTTAAATGATTTAAAAGAAGTTAATTTTCAATTTTATAAATGCACCAGAAAGGAAATGGATTTGTCATTTATAAATGATTCAAGACAAATGGTGAACCACAAGTCCCTTTGCTTTTTGGAAGGAACAGAAGAAATGACGTCTGTAAAGCCATCTAATGACTCCCCAAGGAGAAGCAAGATTGCTTCACCCATCTTGTGTTCTGTTATTATTGGTAGCATTCATCATGAAACATCCTGTATTCTTATCTGAAATCAAATTAGGGAAGAGAGTGGGTTCATTATAGAAATTAATGGAAGAAAACTGCCTGAGCAACCATTGCAACTTTCCTTTTTAACTTCCTTTCTCCATAGTATGCCAGTCTTCCTTAACAGTTTTGTATTTTTCAGCTGATGTGAAATAAAGTGCAATGTATAAGAGTAATGTGCTATATATTGAAATAGCTGTCAGCCTTCCCCAATTTGGATGTCCTTTTTTTTAGCTCCCATCTTTCTATGTCAAAACTGAACTCCAAGCTAGCCAAAAGAATTGCACCCCAGTATCTCCTCCACTTAAATGTAAATGTGTGTATGTGTGTATATATATATATATATTTGTCAAAAAAGACAAAAATGCAGTATTGCAGTGTGCAATGATACCTTTTTTATTGGACTAACAAAATATATAAAAGACAAGCTTTCGAGAGTGAACCTCTCTTCTTCAGGTCAGAAGCAATACTGATCAACATGACAGTTTGTCAGTTTAGACAGGAGAAAGCTGTTAGAGGAGGGGGGAGGGTTCGTGGGGTGTCATAAATGTTAGACCTGGGAGTAAAAAATGCCTCCTGATAATCAAAAGACAGAAAAAATAAACGTAGGATGACAAATAAACCCTGAACAGATCAGATATATACAACATACATGAATATTGTGATGTTCTGTAGATGTTGATCAGTATTGCTTCTGACCTGAAGAAGAGAGGTTCACTCTCGAAAGCTTGTCTTTTATAGATTTTGTTAGTCCAATAAAAAAGGTATCATTGCACACTGCAATACTGCATTTTTGTCTTTTTTTGACATCTTGTCTACTGGACTAATACGGCTTACCCATTTATATTGCACTATATATATATATA